ATCTATCAGAAATAGCTGGCTCTAAACGCATGGATTTACTTCCGGGCTTTAGCATATGCATCTACTTAGGCAAATGCTACATTTTTTGACTATGCTACATTGTGATTTGGTGGGGAGGGGGGTCATTTTTTGAAATGAAGTAGTATAATTCCTCCAGCTTAGTTTTTTGTTGTTTTTGAAACAAGGTCTCATAGCCCAGATTGGCTTCGAACTCTGTAACTGAGAATAACCTTTAATGTCTGACCCTCCTACCACACACCTCCCAAGTGCTAGCATTACAGATGTGCACCACCATGCACAGTTTTAGGGGTGTTGAGCAGGGCCTCACACATGCTAGGCAAGCATTCCACCAACGGAGCTACATCCCGAGGATGTTCTTTATTTGGAGACAGGCCTTGTTGTATAACACAGGCTGGCCCAAGATGACCTCAAACTCATGATCCTCCTGCCTCTACCTCCTGAGTCCCAGGATTTCAAGAATGAGTCAACCATGCCTATCTCTCCAACTTTGTTCTTTTAGCTTAAAAGTGCTTTAACTGTTTGAGATCTCTTGTTTCATACACATTTTAGAACTATTCTAAAAGTGACAAAATTTTAATTGGTTTTGGCGTATACAATATTTAGCTGAGGTATATTCTATACCTAATTTGTTTATCATGAAATGATGTTGAATTTTGCCAAATGCTTTTTATTCATGTATTGAGATGATTATGTAGGTTTTGCCCTTTGTTCTGTTAATGTAGTGGATCACATTTATAGATCTGAGTATGTTGACCCTTGCATCCTTGGGATAAATCCTACATGGCCATAGTGAGCAATCTTTTGAATATGCTGTTGAATTTGTCTTGCTAGCATTTGTCTTGCTAGAATTTTTGAGGCAGCAATAGTTATTTGGGGAGGGGAGTCTTTTTTTGAGACAGGGTCTCTCTGTAGCCCCAGCTGGCCTAGAACTCCCTCTATAGACCAGGCTGGCCTGGAACTCACAGAGATCTGCCTGCCTCTGCCTCCCAAGTGCTGGGATTAAAGGCGGGCACCACCACAGCTATCGGAGATGGTTATTTTTAATGGAGTTTTATCTGTTGAGTGTGTGTGTGTGATGGCACATATGTTGAGGTTGATGAGAGCCAGATTTCTTACCATTAGGGAAAGGAATTTTGAAAAGTAGAAGGTAGACGTTAGACATTCCCACATTAAACTCATAGCTTTTGATAGATGTTGATAGAAATTTCTAGATTTATGTGTGGTGTGGAATGTATCTGTGAACTCTCACTGTCTTCTGTGTGAGGGCTTAAGAATGGCAGTGTCACAGAGCAACGATCACAAGTAGTCCCCAGATCTTGGTTTCTAAATACTGAATTCAATCTCCAGCATCACATAAATCAAGCATGGTGGCATACGCCTATAATCAATTGGCTGTGGAGGATCAAAAGTTCAATATTATTTTCAGTTATACAGGAAGTTCAAGGTCAGCCTGAACAACTTAAGACTCACTTGTCTCAAAAAACAGATTAGGGGCTGGAGAGATGGTGCAGTGGTTAAGAGCACTTGCTGCTCTTCCAAGACCCAGGTTTGGTTCCCAGCACACATACAGTACCTAATACCTGCTTGTAACTCGAAGTCCAAGGGATCTGCCACCCTCTTCTGACTTTCATGGTCATCAGGCACACACAAGTGTACATACACACAGGCAAACACTCACATACATAAATTATTCTTTTTTAAAATTAAAATTTAAAAATACGATCTTGAGCCAGGAGTGGTGCCGCACGCCTTTAATCCCAGCACTCGGGAGGCAGAGGCAGGCGGATCTTTGTGAGTTCAAGGCCGTCCTGGTCTACATAGCGAGATCCAGGACAGCTGGGGCTACAGGGAGACCCTATCTCAAAAGAGACAAAAAAAAAAAGAGTGTTGTTAAAAGGACAGAGAAACCAGCTTGAAGGAATTCCCACTGCCCAAATCAATACTTAGAAATAAAAACAAATGCTATTAGTAACAAATCACAACCTCCTTGAATAAAATGAGAAGCCATAAGTTAGGTGTGTGGCTTAGTGATAGATGCCCACTGCATACATGAGGCCATGAGGCCTCAGGTTCAGTCCCAGCATCACAGCAAATAAAAACAAGGCTGCACTCCACAATAACATACATGAATGAATAGAGGGGAAGGCTCTACCTTTCCATAGGGCCAACTAATCATAAATGTGAAGGAGATGGCATTTGACAGCACTGAGCAATCAGTAATATTTCAGGTGGAAATTTTCAGTAGATGCTAAATCTAAAGAGTGAGATTTGATCTGTTTACAAAATACAATTAGAGGAAAACAAAAAGCAACAATAAAAGTAGAGCAGTTTGGTAAACAGTACCTTAGTCAATTGATAATGCCCAACCATCAGTAACTGGACAGAGGCAACTGTTGACACCTGTTGACATGCAAGAACACATTTCTTCGGTGACAGTCTCAGCAAAAAAAAAGGTACAAGGGGCTGGAGTAACAGCTCAGGGTTAAGAGCACTGGCTGCTCTTGCAGAGGACCTGGGTTTGGTTCCCAGCACCCACATGGCAGCTAACAGCCATCTGTAACTCTAGTTCCAGGGGATCTGACACCCTCTTCTGACCTCTACAGGCATTGCATGATGCAGATGCACTTACATACACAAAAAATAAACAATAATAATAAATCTTTTAAAACAAAAACAAAGGTACACATAAATCTAATAAGGAAGCATCAGGAAACCCAAATATAGAAACAGTCTACAAAATACCATGTCTGAAATTTTAAGATGCTGAACGAATGTCAAAGAAAGACTTACTTTCAGATTGGTAGATTAGACACAATCACTGAATACCAAGTGTGAGCACTTGAAGTCTGGTGTGACACGTGGCAACATCTGAGTGAGGCTGTGGGTTAGGTAATGGTGATCTGTCTGTGGACTTTCTGATATGGTGGGTGTATTGTGATTCAGAAGAACATCTTTAGGAATTGCATACCAATGTGTTTGAAGTGGTGAGATATCATTGACACAGCAGCTCGGGGGAAAGGTCCCTTTGTACTTCTCCTAGTACTTTTAACTTTGGAATTATTTCAAAATGGAAAAAATTTAAAATATGAAAGTTTTTCATAATAAAAAAAAAGGTGTCATTTTAAAATCAGTTCAGAAAAGCTTACATCAGGAGGGGTTGTGATGCAAGACTGTAATCCCAGCACTTTGGGAGGCAGGAGGACCATGAGTTCAAGGCCAGCTTGAGCTATATAGTGAGACCCTATCTCCAGTGCCCTCGCCCACAAAGCAAGCTTACACCCCAGTTCTTTCTCATGTGTGGGCCTCTCATGGCTATAGAAAGCATGAGCTCATAACTGCAGTTTCCTGAATGGACAGGGGAGGAACTGTGAGGCCCTGCCCCTTCCTAAGGCTCTCCTGGCTGTTGGTGGATGCCTGGAGGGGAGTCATTGTTTGCAGTGATACAGCCACTGGTGAGTCCACCATGCCCTAGTGGATAGCACCATCCATACCCATGCCCACTCAGACATTCAAACTCAGGACTCATGAAACCAAAACAAAGACAAAGAAAGTGGGAAGGAGACTTGTTGGGAGGTAAGAAAAGATGGGGGAGTATGACCAGAATGTATCGCGTACATGTACGAAATTCACAAAGAATAAATTTAATTTTTAAAAATCAAAGAGTAGGAGGGGGGGTTCCGACCTCCATCAGTGTAGCGGCTCTGATCTCAGCAGACCACCAGAGAGTGCCGAGTTCTGGCCTCCCTCTGACAGAGGGGCTGAGAATGCAGGGGGCTGCCCGAGAGCCCCCGGATCTTGCCTCTATATGGCGCTGCTGCAAGGCTGAGTCCAAAAGCTGTTCATAGCTCAGGAGTAATGGGATGGAGGTTTATATGGAATTTTTAGTGAATTAAACTCTATGTTCAAGCTTAAAAAAAAGTCAAAGAATAAAGCTCCAAAAGAAAAATGTTTTTCTATTATAAAATGAAAATTTCTTAAATTTTATAAATTCACTTCATTCAACTTGCAAATATAACTAGTTATCTTACTTGGGAAATTCTCATTTTATCAATTCTGTTTTTTCTTGGCTTTTCCAGGTCTTCAGAGTTGATGCTTTTCCTAAATAACTACACGGTATATCTGACACAAAGAACCACAAAGAGCTTCTAAATGTCATTAATAATGCTTCCAGTTTACATGAAGCTTCCAGAGGGAACCAAGGCTAACTTTACAAATTCTGTGTAGACCAGGGAACGACCACTCTCAATGCTGTTCCTCATTCTGCCTAACAGAAGCCTACATTAACCTTTAACAACCTGTGTTTCAAAATCATACAGACATTTGGAATTAGTGTAGAACTACTGTTTACCACCTGAACAGGAAAAGAATGTAAGAAACAGAAGTCTGAGAGGCTGGAGAGATGGCTCAGCAGTTACGAGCACTGGAGCGGAGGACCTGGGTTCAGTTCCAGCACCCACATGGTGGCTAACAACTATCTGTAACTCCAGTCCCAGAGAATCTTACACCCTCTTCTAGTCTCTGTGGACATTATGCTCACATAGTGCTCTACATATATTGAGGCAGAACCTTGTACACATAAAATAAAACAAATTTTTCAAAAGAAACAGGGGCTGGAGAGATGGTGCAGCGGTTAAAAGCACTGACTGCTTTTGCAGAGGACCTGGGTTCGAGTCCCAGCACCCACATGGCGGCTATGAGCCATCCTTAACTCCAGTTCCAGGGGAATCTGACGCCTCCTTCTGACCTCCATGGCATTGCACAACACAGGCACACTCACATACATGCAGGCAATACACTCATACACATAAAATAAAAATAATAAATAAAATATTAAAGAAACAGAAATCTAATTTTAGCTAGCTAGAAAGGTCTGATTCTTCCATGTTGGAGGGCCACTGGATTCAAAGCTGAGCCAAAGAAACATGCAAAAGACAAATTACTTCAACCTCTTTTACAGCAAAATTTCATGAAAAACTGAAATACCCACACAGAAGTCTTTCACTTTTAAATCAGTTTATTTCTCTTATTCCCTTTTCATTTTCTGGCATTGAAAAAAAAATGAAAACAATTCTTTGCTAGTATTGACATATGTCAAGACGTGGTTTCAACAGAGTAGGCTTCCCTTGTATGACAGTTAAAGCTATGTCCTGATAGAGTATCTAAACTGAGTTTAGGATCTGTTATGGTGTGCAGAGATGAGAAATACAATCAAATACTATTCAAATCTCACATGTATCAAAAAATAAATTAAAAAGCCCCAGTGGTTGAGCTGATGAAAATTACACTGAAGTCTAGATTTTATTGAGCTTCTTTTCTGGAATCTGTAATGATTAATTCATTTTCTTCATCTGATGACTGACTTATTTAAAATGATAATTATATGAGGTCAAATGAGATACCTGCTGGCCTTTTTCTGGTAAATTCCAGAAGTCAGTCTCATGGCTAAGTGCATCTAGTTGGCACCCTAGGTGTCTCTGTCATACAATAGGTACAGCAGGTGATCTATAAGGGTTTACTAAAAAGAACCCTAAAGACTAACAAGCTTCAGTTCTAGACCTGGATATGAAAGTAACTAATCATTTTAGGTGCCATTTAACTATTCTTTTGGTTTCCATATTTATAAAATTAAAGACAATACCCTAAATGCCTCAGTAAAATATTTGAAATTAGACAATACATTTTAACACTATGAAATAGTATGTCTTTGTTTAGTAATTTCAGTTTTTCATATTCTTAACCCTGGGACTGAAGTTATTGAAGGCACTTGTTTCTCTTAAAAGATTTATGAAAGTGTCTTACCTTGCTATGCTCAGATGTTAAAGTCTCACTTGCCCCCACAGGAGACATGTACTGACAATTTTAGACTGTCAAAACAGTGAGGTAAGGCCATCAGATTTTTGACAAGTCACACCTTAAAATACTTTCCACTGGTAGCAGCTTGCTTGAGACTTACTGGGAAAATATTAATGATGCCAGATTTGTGTTTGATAGATTATAGGATATTATACTACATGAATCTAGTAATATTTATGCAGATAATTTGAAATTTTTAGAACATTATTTTAAAGGTAATATCTCTCTTGTGGAGGTAATCTTTTTTTGTTTGTTTGTTTTGTTTTGAGACAGGTCTCCCAGTAGCCCCAGATGGCCTGGAACTCCCTGTACAGATCAGGCTTGCCTCAAACTCACAGAGATCCACCTCCCTTTGCTGGGATTAAAGTTGTGTGCCACCACGCCCAGCTAGGAAATCTTGCTGAAAGAAGTTAGGGCTTGTCAGATTAGCAGACTGTTTCCTGTTTGTCCACCTCTCTAAGTAAAAGAATTGAGAAAGAAATTGGTTTTATGAATCACAGTTTGGTTTTCGGGTGGAATGAAACAGGGAATGAGAGAAATCATACAACAGAACAGCCGAACCAAAAAACACATCCATATAGATCCTGAGATGCTACAACAAATTTTAGAAATAGATCAACATGATCCAAGTGGTTTTGAAAACACCGTTATGGTGGGTAAACAGTCATTTTCTAGGATATGTTGCAGGGATGTCCACGTCATGCCACAAAACCCTATCTTTGGGTCCAAATGTGAGAGCTAGTCACCCAGAGCGGGTGGCCAGTCAACATCTACAGACTAGAAGAGAGAAAACAAGTCATTAAAATGGATATTCTGGCAAGCATTTGCTGGGGATAGCTTTAGTACAATGCAAAAGATGAAATTATATTGGATGAAGAGAACAACACTGAGCTTTACAACTTTAAAGTCTAGTCAGGGACTCTTGGTCCCAAGGTCTATTTCTCAATTAACTTAAAAGCAATACTGTGTTACTTAATTACTAATTGCACCTCAACTCATAAGAGAATCAATTAAAATTTTTAATGTTTTAATGAGTAAAGAAAACATTCAAATTTAGGCAGCTATACTGGTTTCTGTCAAAGAGTCTCAGTGACTCTTCCTCTGATCATCTTCACTTTACCATCTTCTCTTTACAAATGTAGTTATGCATCACTTAACAGTGGGGCCACATTCCCAGAAATGGTCATTACAAGATTCCACCACTGTGCAAACATCAGAATGTTCTTAAACTTAAGCTGTGATATCACTAGGTGATGTCATCTAGTAGACTATTCTACAGCACATGGCTGTACTCAAGTAGCCTGTAAACCTATATAGTCCTGTTTGTAACTTAACTAGATGTGAAGTAAATGAATGAGATCACCTAGAAGCAGCTGTTTTAAGTTATTTTTAAACATTTACTTAATTATTTTTTAAATTTGTGAGGGGGGCATGCATATGTGGAGGTTCAAGGACAAACTTTGAGAGTTCGTTCTCTCTCTGCCATGTAGGTTCTGGGTATCAGACTCAAGTTGTCAGGTTTGGTGCCCTTACCCACTGAGCCACTGCACAGACCCTTACTTTTTTTTTTTTTTTTTTGGTTTTTTTGAGATAGGGTCTCCCTGTAGCCCCAGCTGTCCTGGAACTCACTATGTAGACCAGGCTGGCCTTGAACTCACAGAGATCCGCCTGCCTCTGCCTCCCAAGTGCTGGGATTAAAGGCGTGCGCCACCACGCCCGGCAACCCTTATATTTTTTATAAAACAAATCAAGACTGGAAATGAACCCTAGAATTCCAAAGGGCGGTTACAACTTCATTTCCTTGTTTTGTTTAAGGATTTGACCTGATGCCATATGTAAACCAGTAAGTGATAGTAACTGATGCCAATTACTAAATTAGCTATATAATTAATCTACAAGTGTCACAAATGGGAACCTGTATTTTTAAAAAATAAGAATTCAAGAGGCTGGAGCGATGTCTCAGCAGTTAAGAACACTGGCTGTTCTTGCAGTAGACCCAGGTTCAAATCCCAGCACCTACATGGCAGCTAACAACTGTCCTTAACTCCAGTTCCAGGGGATCCGACAGCCTCTTCTGTCCTCCGCAGGCACTGCACGACACAGATGCACTTACCTACATGCAGGCAATACACACATACACATAAAAATAATAAATAAAATATTTTTAAAAAATAAGAATTCAAAGGACAGTCCCTCCCTGTGATACAAAGCTAAAGTGAGATTTTACTGTTGTCCAATATCCATGGAGACAGGTAGTGCTATCTGGCTTAAAGCCACAGGGCCTAACTTGGCCGAATTCAATTTGAAAATGTGCATTCCACCATTAAATAGCTTACCTCTACATCTAGCTCAAGAATGTCTGCGGTCACATTCATCAAAGAGCCAATGTTTGGCTTGGTTCTCCCAAAGTCTCCATGTACAAATTCTTTAATATAGCTAGGTCTATTTAAGGAAAAAATGAGAATAACCATGCAATACCAGCTATTTTGGCAAGTGGAAAAGAAATAATAAACAAAAGCAAAAACATTATGAAACAGAAGTCATTTCTGATACAAAAAACCCAAGTCAGATTAGGTTATAAACAAAGTATCAGCCTGGAAATATAGATATTTAAAATTCTGAATCCCAGTCTTCTGTATTTAAAGCACAGAACTTTGAAGTCTTTGAAAACTGTCCTAACATCAGCATATTACGGTATAAGTGATATGTAGTATTCTTTTTTTCTCACAAGGCCTATATATAAAGTTATGGTCAACATGTCAAGCAGCACTGGGCACAAGTATGGATCTCTAGTCCCATTTAGGAGGCTGAGACAGAAGAATTACTTAAGCTTAAGAGTTCAAGACCAGTCTGGGTTAAAAAAAAAAAAAAAAAAAGTAAAATAGTGTCATTTCCTTCTACCACCCATGTTTAATCATCTGGACAAATACTTGAAATACTGAAAGGACCCAAATAAAGTGATGAATATGTGGCTTGTATAATATGTAAAGATAGATTCTGGGACCAGCCTTCCACCCTGAGGCACGTAGACCTTAGGAGGAAGCCTGAGAGCATCTGATTCTTGCTTGACTTGGGCCTCTGCCAGAACTCCAGAGAAGCTGGACTAGAGCTATCTGGTCCCTCCAATATAAAATCAAAAGGGAGAACCTGAAGCCTAGACCAACAAGCTTTTCATAACCAATAAGAAAATGAAAGTACATCAATTACAAACAAAAATACTCAACAAAGGAAGGCTTGAGTCTCACACCAGAATTACAAACAAAAGAAGTTCACATGCCAAAATCACAACAAAAAAATATGAAAAACTCAAATAATATGTCCCCATCAAACACCAACAGTCCTATAGAAGAGCAGTACAATGAGAACCCCCTAGAGATAACCCAGGACACAGAATTTAAAAGAACAATCATAAATATGATCAAAGAATTCAATGAATTTAAATACACAAACAAATCAAAGAACTAAAAGAAGATATGGATAAACTTCTGATTGAATTCACAAAAGAGATAGAAATATTGAAGAAAAGTCAGGCTGAAATGAAGAAGGAAATGAAACAATAAGTCAATTAGAAATGACAGGAGAAATCCTCACCAATAGAATGAACAAAATGGAAAACAGAATATCAAGACTGGAAGATAAAGTTGAAGAACTGGACTACTCAAGTAAGGATTATGAAAATATTTTAAAAACACAGGAATGGAATATGCAGGAAATGTGGGACACCATGAAAAGACAAAATTTACATATCATAGGCATAGAGGAAGGAGAAGAATCTAAGGATAATGGTATTGACCAGATCTTCAACAGGATTGTAGAAGAAAATTTACCAAAATTAAGGAAAGGCATCCCCATACAAATACAAGAAGCACATAGACCACCACATAGACAGGATCAGAAAAGAAACTCCCCATGACACATCATAGTAAAAACACTAAATGTACAGAACAAAGAGAGAATACTGAAAGCTGCAAAAGAGAAAGAAGAAGTCACATATAAACCCATCAGAAATACAGCTGACCTTCTAATGCAAACTATGAAAGCCAGAAGAGCCTGGACCAAAGTACTTCCAATTTTAAATGACCACAGAAGCCAACCCAGAATACTTTACCCAACAAAAATGTCTATTATAGTTGAAGGGGAAAGAAAAATCTCCTACAGCATGACTAGGCTGAAAGAATTCATGTCCACAAAACCAGCCTTTCAGAGAATTCTCAAAGAGCTGAAGAGAGGAACAACTAGACCCAAGGGGCAACAGAAAGAAACTAAGGGGAGGAACTGTGGAAACACAAAGTTAGACCAAGAATGAAAGCAGAATAAAAGGCTGGGAACCAATACACATCTTTCAATAATAACTTTAAATATCAATACACTGAACTTCCCAGTCAAAAGACACAGGATAAATGAATGGATTAAGAAACAAAATCCATCTTTTTGTTATCTGCAAGAAACCCATCTCACCTTCAAGGATAGGCACTATATTGTGGTGAAAGTATGGGAAAAAAATTCCAAGCAAATGGCACTAAGAAACATGCAGGGTTTGCAATTATAATATCTGACAAACTAGACTTTAAACTGAAACTAATTAGATAAGATAAAGAGGGTCACTTCATTCTGATCAAAGAAAAAATTGACTAAGAAGACATTACAATCATGAACATACATATATGCACCAAACTCTGGTGCACCCAACTTCATTAAAACAGTACTATAGGACTTTATGACATAGATTAATCCCAACTCACTAATAGTAGAGGACTTCAATACCCCACTGACTCCATTAGATAGGTCAACTGGACAAAGAATAAACACAGAGACATCTGAATTAAACAATACCATACATCAAATGGACCTAACAGACATCTACCGAATATTCTGCCCAAGCACCAAAGAATATACTTTCTATTCAGCACTCCATGGAAGTTTCTCCAAAACTGACCACATACTAGGGCACAAAATAAACCTCAACAAATACAAAAAAGCTGAAATAATTCCATGCATTCTATCAGCCCACAGTACAATAAAGTTTAAAATAAACACTGGAAGAAGCCCTAGTAACTACACTCCTGAACGATGAATGGGTCAAAGGAGAAATTAAGAAAGAAATAAAAGTATTCCTGGAATTAAACAAAAAGGACAATACAACACAACAAAACCTCTGGGACACTTTAAAAGTAGTCCTAAGAGGGAAGTTAATAGCTCTAAGTGCCTACATTAAAAATCAAAAAGAGCACAAATAAATGACTTAACATTGCAATTCAAGACTCTTGAAAGGCAAGAACAAATGAAACCCAAACCCAGTAGACAAGACAAGAAGAAATAACAAAAATCAGAACAGAAATTAATGAAATAGAAACAAAGAAAACAATACAAAGAATCATCAAATCCAAGAACTGGATCTTTGAAAAGATAAACAAGATAGATCCTTAGCCAAGTTAATTAAAAGAAAAAAAGAGTAACTCCAAATCAACAAAATCAGAGATGAAAGGGGAAACATCACACAGACACCAGAATGATACAGAACATTATAAGGGAATACTTTAAAAATCTATACTTTATTAAATTTGAAAACCTAAGAGAAATGGGTGGATATCTAAAATCATGACTATCACCAAAGCTAAACCAAGAAGAGATCAACATCTCAAACAGACCCATGACATATAAGGAAATTGAAACAGTAATACAAAACCTCCCAACTAAAAAAAGTCCATGCCCAGATGGATTGACAGCAGAATTCTACCAGACATTTAAAGAAGATCTGCATCCAATACTACTTACAGTATGCAAAAAGATAGAAACGGAGAGAGAACTTCCAAATTCCTTCTATGAAGCCAGCATCACTCAAATACCCAAACTAGGTAAAGACACAACCAAAAAAGAAAACTACAGACCCATTTCCTTAATGAACATAGATGCAAAAATTCTCAACAAAATGCTTGCAAACCGCATACAGATGCATATCAAAAAGATCATCCACCATGACCAAGTTGGCTTTATTCCAAAGTTGCAGGGATGGTTCAATATATGCAAGTCAATAAATGTCATAAATCATATAAACGGACTTAAATAAAAAAAACTACATGGTCATTATCTCAATAGATGTAAAGAAGGCCTTAGACAAAATTCAACATATAGTTGTGTTAAAAGTCCTAGAGGGAAATGGACTGGAGGGAACATACCTCAACATAATTAAAGCCATATACAACAAACCTACAGCCAACATGATTCTAAATGGAGAAAAACTGGAGGTATTCCCATTAAAATCAGAAATATAGTACTTGAAATTCTTGCTACAGCAATAAGACAAGAGAAGGAAATTAAAGGAGTATTAATTAGAAAAGAGGTCAAATTATTCCTTTTTGCAGATGTGTCCCAAAAAGCATGTTTCCTCCAAGGGGTGGGGCCTGCTGAGGAGAACTGACTGTGAAGAGCTAGCCACAGGAGGAGGGGCTTTCTGTGCCATCTTGGACAGGAGCTATGACAGGAACAAGTGAGAACAAATAGCCTGGTATTTACCAGCCTGGAGTGAGACTACGAGCCCACGAGGAGTGGGCGAAAGCTAACGGTGACTATGGGCAGGCCACGGGAGTGATCTGGAGTGGTAGCCTCATGATCTGGAATGGTGAGCTCCCGCAGCACAGAGCTAGGCACCTGGTGTTTGTATCTTTGTGAGTTACCACCCCCATGGTATAAACTATAATAAATTCACATAAAATATGTTATATGGTTTGTCTGATAGCACAAGACACCCCGAGAGAACTCGGGCAACAAAATTGGCACAAGTCGACAGGATGAAGTTGCTTAAAATGACAAACTGCAGAAGTTTGGAAAAAGCTAGAGAGCTGACAGCGGTGCTGATGTCGTTTTTACAATGGATTATAAAATATGTAACTAAAATGGGTCGGCCATGCAGAAGCGTGGGCCACAGCTGTGTTGTAAATGTCGGGGCATGTTGCGGGTATGTGAAGATTTGTTAAAGGTTGTGCAGAGGCTAGAAAATCTTTTACTGGCTCTGGCCACAAACAGAATGCCCAGAGAGGGGGTATGGCCACTTTGCATAATAAAAGATGTGCCCCAGGCAGGGGAAGCTGAAAAGACTAGGGAGGTCCTGGCAGATCCAGTTGCAGAGCTTGAGAGAGGAAAAAAAGGTCCAAGGACTCAGGAAAAGACAGATAATAGTTAAAAAAAAAAAAAAAAAAGACCTAAAAATAAAAGTAGATAAAGCTGCCCCCCAGATTCAACCATTGATACAAGAGGGAAAAAAGCTAACAGTGCTGTAGCTAGGAAATACTCCACGCTGGAACTGTTAAAACTAGGAAAAAACTTATAAGCAAGTGATCAGAGAGACCCTAGCCATGTGGCTTGTGAGAGTATGGGATATAGAAGCAAATGACATCAGTCTAGGTCTTTCAGAAGCTTTACAGCTGTTATATAACCAC